GTGTTGACGGATTCGAGAACAAATATTTTATTCAAGCAAATTAGATTGATTATAAACCGGTTCTTGGTCCATTCGGTCGGACTGTGTCTAACCCAATTTAATTTAAAAACAATGAATAAATCATGATTAATGTTATTTATATATTTAATTTATAATACAATCGTAATATTATTTTCCCGTACATCGCACGGGCCACACACTAGTTGAAATACTATAAATAACTTTATTATCTTGTTGCAAAATGAATCACGAGACTGCGAAACATGCCTGAAAAGCTGACATCCTACGTAGTATAAGAAATTATCAACGTTAACTTTAGAAAATTGTAAAGGGGTCGCCCAAACATTTTCTATAAATATATTCAACATATCACAAGTCTTCTCATAGATAAGACTATTATGCTTGAAAAAATTGAAAAAAAAAACGTAATATATATATTTCTTGTTTGTCTAACATGAACGTTGTTTTCAGTTGGTGTATATTTCATCTATATATCAACTCAAAATGTGATAAGTCGTAGTGTAAGACTCAGACACTTATAACTTTTTCTCTTAAATTTACTAAAACATATTATTGTTGAAAATTAAACTTTAAAATTTGTTATATTATTATTAAAATTTTATTTCAAAAATATTTATCATCTTCATTCATTACCTATTGTTTTATTTAACTATTTATGTAAGATCTCTAAACTTCTTATAAAAAGTAACTTGATATTTTGAAAATATTATTCTTTACTATGATACTTTTAGACTATAAAAACAAAATATAATATTTATTGAGTACTTAAATGTGGATACAAAATTGCAATAAAAAAAATGCAATATAAGGATTTATTGAGTAAGTCGATGGGATACCCTTCATTCAGATTTGTGTAGCCGATACGGCCTTTTGTGCATCTGCTCCCCCGTGATGCTGACTTTTCGCTTGGACTCTTCCCGGACCAGGATCTGAAGTTTTTGTGCTACTTGCTGTTGTTATTAGCTTTTTCTTGTTTATTTTCTTGTTTCTATCTTTGTTTTCGTTTGGCTTGATGTATATTATTAGACATTAAACTTGTAGATTTGTGACTTTTCAACCCATTTAGAGCATTTTTATATACAGGTTGAAGGTTCGGCCTCAATCCCCAACCTTCTGCNAACTTATCAAACAGAGCAATTCACTAATGTGAGTTTTAATGTGGTTATCTGATATTTTTGGACTATTAACAATAAATACAAAATTTATAATTTATATATATGTTGAGATGGAAGAGTCATTGTTGGCAATTCTCCTGGCATAGTGTTAATAATGGATTAGATCAAAATGACTCAATTAAATTCTAGTACTTCTTCTATTAGTGAAGTTTCTAGAAAAAAAAATATATCAAACGGCGCAATGCACTTGGGTTGCTACGGAAACAGCCTCCTTGTATAAGTACAAGGGTAAGGTCTGCGACCCCTAGACCCCAACCTGTTGGGAATATACTGAGTATGTTGTTCTTGTATACTAGTACGTACCCCGTGCGATGCACGGGACAAAGATATTAAATGAGTTATTTTCACACCCTTGTCCGTTTAAGTCTAAAAAATACTAGGGTTATTATCTATTTTCTACCTCTTTTAATCAACGTTAAGTCTAAAAAACAATAGGGTTATTATAAGTTTTTTTTCCACATCTTTTAACCAGCGTTGTTTTTTTTAGCAAGAACATTATATATGAGCATGTTAAGGCCAGCTTGTAATTAATATATTATCTCACAAAAATTTTTATATTAATAAAAATTTAATTTTAGCATATAAATTTATCCCTTGATATAAGAGAAAGTAACAATTTTACTTATTGTTGTTCAGTATATAATATTTAATTATTATTTTATTATATAATAAAAATGAATATTATTAAATAGTGCAGTATAATTGTTATAAAATTATATGAATTATTTTTTTTTACAATATGGATTTAATACCTTTAAAAGATTTGATAATAAAACTATAATATATTCTTAATGATATAATAATATGAGATACGGATTTGCATAATACTATGGATTTATTCCTTAATGTTAAGATATTAAATTAGATAATATATAATTCACTAATTTGTAATCTGTCTCTTTTTATATTGAAAATAATCATGTGATTCAGTAGAGATAACAATTATCTATAAATTTCTTCATTTAAGGAATAATTTTTAAATTGATCCAAGTGTTGAATGCAATCCGATTTTCTTGTAACTAAAATGAGAAGAGATTTTGAATTTCAAAGTTTCACTTCAAAACCACACGTAAATTTGGATGCAGATTTTATTAAAAATAAAATGAGAAGAGATTTTGAATTTCATATTCACTTTAATATCTGTCGAAATTTTCAAAAATGAATTCAACAAAACCCATAAATTTAGGGTCATTTAATGTTACCCTATTTTATAATCTAAAATATCTAAAACTTTCTAAATATGGTGGGCAATTAATTACTTTAAAAGATGAACCGCTTTTGTTACCAAAAAATATGGGCACAATTTTGAATGTACATCCCGTCCAAATATCACTTTTATTTCAAAATAAAAATTACACGTGGTTTTAGTCAATTTACACACTTTTTTTGAAAGAAAAAATTATTCATTAAGATTGGAAGAATTGGTTAGAAATTATACAACTATTTGTTTCGTAAATTTGTATCCAATTTGCACAGTTTTTAAATTGATTTGTATTTAGAATTGTTTTCATAAATAATTGACACATTTTTTGCATAAGAATCTCTAAATTTGTTACAAAAAAAGATATGATTTAAATTTTGGTAAAAAAATAAAATATGATACGAAAAAAATGGGATTCAAATTTTGCCATAAGAATCTCCAAATTTGTTACCGAAAAAATAGGATTCAAATTTTGTTTTTAAAGATTTACTTGTGTTTTTTCGAACTTTCCATTAATAGTAAGTCAAACATTATATTTATTTGGTCAAACTTTATTTTTCCAACAACCTCTTTATATAGACTAGTGAGCAACCCGTGCGATGCACGGTGAGGCTTGATCCTCAAAACTTATTTAAAACTTTATTTTTAAATATAATTACTAAAGTTTAAACATTTTATTATAAATTAGATACAGAGTATGAAAAATCATATATTGTTGAACAATTCCCTATACACAATATTTTATGTTTTATTTTGTGGAAAACCTTCTTGTCAACAAATTAAAAATTTCAAACATTTGTGTGAAAAAAATTAAATTATAATATATTATTTGTAGTGTGACAAATCGTAATATATTATTTTTAGTGTGATAAAATGTGTTGGGATAACTATGACCATTTGAAAAAATATTTAATTGTAATTTTAAAACTTTAATAAATTTAAAAAGATAAATATGACCATTTGAAGAAATATTTATATGTAATCTTAAAATTTTAAGTTTTGAAAAATGATTGTATCTATGCGCCAAGTTTTTAGGAACCAATCGATCATATAATATAAAATTCTTATATGATTTCCAGAGTCTTACGAACTTGACATGAACTTCATTTTTTAATTTCAAATTTAAACAAATCAAAAGACAAATTATTAGGTAGTTATGAAAAAAAGTATCCAACAAACTATTTTCTAATTTCAAATTTAACAAATCAGAAGACAATTATTAGGTAGTTATGAAAATAGTCTCCAACAAACTTCAAATTAAACGACACACAACCATCAGATCTGGAGTTGGTTGCAGTCGACGATCACCACCCGTCTCGAGGTCCGGTAGCTCCCTGACCCGGCATTCTCCACCACCTTCAATATGTCGTACTCCTCCACCACCTGCCCGAACACCACGTGCTTGGTTTCAAGCCACTTCGTCCTTGTCGTGCAGATGAAAAAGTACATGTCATTTGTCCCCGGAACAGCCTTCGCCATCGACAGGTCCCGGTGTGCTTTCTCATGATGTTCTCGTCGGTAAACTTGGCGTCATAGATCGACTTGCCGTCGTTACCCGCAGTGAAGTCACTGCTCTGACAAATGAAATTGGGGATTACATGATGGAAGGATGACCCTTTGTGGTGGAGGGGATTGCCATATTTGCCGACGTCCTTCTCGTTGGTGCATAGGGCGCAAAAGTTCTCGTCGGTCTTCGTGACAACGTCGACGAAGAGCTCCATCACGATTCAGCGGCGGGGCTAGCTGCTAATTGTTATGTCGAAGTAAACCCTAGAATTCGATAGGTTGATTTGAATTTTTTATTTAGGAGTTTTTTGTGATTTTTTTTTATTTGTGACTAACTGATTTTTTTTTTGTCTCAAACTTAGGATTTTGTAATTGGGTGGGGAGGGTTTATATAAGGGATCGATTGAGTGCAAACTTTAAAAAGATGGATTCTTTCTAAACTTTAAAAAGATATTGTAGTTAGATAAATATGGAGAAAAAAATATTTACCAGGAATTCACATAATATGAGATTCTTTCCAAACTTTAAAAAGATTTTGTAGTTTAATAGATATGGACAAAAAAATATCCATAGATAGAGATTTGCCCGAATTTTCAAACCTTTTTTTGTATATATATATATATATATAAATCAATTTGTCCTTTAGGTGGGAATTTACCCTTTTTTTTAATAAATTCATTATCAGTAAAAACAAAAATTTGAGGCGGGATTTTACATACTATCCAACAACCTCTTTATATTACTATAGATATAGATATAGATATAGATATAGATATAGATATAGATATAGATATAAATATATGTTGAGATGTTAATAAATAAATTGCAACTAAAAGATTTAACTGAGTAGACATATTCTGTAACAGAGTATGCATTGATTACGCATCTGTATAACAAAGTCTATGAGATATTTTCTGCATTCAAATCTATTCATCCTAACTCATTTTTAACAAACTATTGGAAGTGCTTTTATATGTTTCTTCTAACAGATTCATAGTCATAAAAGTAAACTGGTTGAAGAAGCTTTCGATTAGCAAACTGTTTTTATAAACTCTTCAAAAAACAAAACAGAAACAGAGTAGAATATCACCGTAGCCATGGACGACCGAATATCCCAATTGCCAATACCTATACTTCACAAAATTCTCTGTTTCCTCCCCCAAAAAGAAGCCGTCAGAACTTGTCTACTCTCCAAACATTGGCACCATATAGGTTCAACCCGCCCCAACCTCGAATTTTCCAAAAAATGGTTCAAAATCAACGACACACAAGAAACGTTTGTCCCCGTCGTTGACCGAACTCTACAACGTTGCCGTGATCAAAACCGCTCCAAACTGCACCGCATTATCTCTCTCCTCCTATGCAGACAATGGCGGCGCAACAATGGATCAACTCGCCCCAACCTCGACTCTTCCAAAAAATTGTTCAACACTACACAACAAAACTTTGTCTCTGTAACCGAACGAACCCTACAAGGATACCGTGATCACAACCTCTCCATAAACAAACTCCATCTCGACTTATTCAGGCCCCTCTCACAACCGGTCATCTCCCTTCTCGACAAATGGATCCCGATAATAGCCGCCCTCAACATAAAAGCCTTCAAACTCAACTTTGATTTATATACTCCTCCATATTACGAGTTGCCCTCGGCAGTCTTCTTAGCCGAGTCCCTCGAAGAACTACACCTGAGCAAATGCAGGCTGAGCCCGGCAAAGAGCGTGAAGTTTAAATGTTTGCGCACGCTCACCCTCGAACATGTCCAAGTTGATGGCGGGAATTTGGAGAATATATTGTCGGGCTGCCCTTTGCTCGGGCGCCTGGTCCTTAATAGTTGTAAGGGGTTGAGAAACATTAGAATTGAAGGGCTCAAGCACTTTAAATTGTCTGATAACGAGTGGATTAAAGGGCGTAGCATCGAAATCGATGCCCCGAATCTCGAGACGGTCTCCATCTGGGGCTTATGGATTTGGTCACACCGCCAAAGCACATTCTTGTTCTCCCGTCTCACGAGTTTGGAGCTCTATTATGTGAAACTGTCGAGTGAGTCGTTCGACCTGTTATCGTTGGGCTGCCCAACTCTTGAGAGCTTGACCCTACATGAATGCTCCGGTTTCAAGGAAATCTATCTTGCAAATGATTCGGTGAAGAACTTGTGCATCTGGACCGGCAAAATATTGCTTAGAGGAGTTACGATTTGTGCCCCCAACCTTGTCGATTTTGAATTCATTACCCCAACTTCCCAGGTTCCCGACACATTCTCTTTCACGACCACTACTTCCAAGGAGTGGGATTCAAATATACTCCTCTCTTCACGTGAGGATGATTCCGATTTCGACGCCAATTCATGGTTCCTTAAGCTGAGGCGAATGCTCAAGGCACTAAGTGGGTCTCGAATTTCTCTGATTCTGGAGATGGACGGCGGCCCTCTGGACTTCAGTCATCTTCTCAGTGACCATCCTCCAGTGGTGGTGGAGGACTTGACATTTAGTACTCGTAAATTTCGCACGGCATCCTGGTACTCGGGCTTTACGAATGGCTTGTTTCGTGTTTGTCGACCGAGGCACATATGGGGTTGTACGAACAGGCTCTCGGAGTTTCAGTTCAACATCTTGCTTGCAAACGAGAGCCTCGGGCACGATCTGGAGCAAGTTCGTGTGAAAACTGTCAGTGGGAAAATATGGCAGCTCGTGGAGTGGACGGACCTTTCGGAATTGAGAAACAGGACGTATACGTATGACAGTTTAATGTGCCTTGAGTTGAAATGGAGAGGTCAGAAGACGGCATAACTACTGCAAACTATCTGTATTGTTACTGCATTCTTTGGAAATATTAGCTACTCATTGTGAAAGCGAAAATCTGTTGGTCACATTTTTGTGAGCAAACCTTTGGATAGTTCAACTCGTTTGAAGCTATTACTATCACTTTACTTGAATCTGCATGGTGTCTTTCTTTTATAATACTAGTCTATGTTCCAGAATTATTGTTTATATATTTTATCTTAGGCGACTCGTTTTAGTGTACTTGACCACTCTCTATTCACTCTTGAACCAATTTCTCTCAGTTTCTTCTTAGACTCCAAGTCCTAGAATTTCATTTGTTACAAAAATTTGGAATATTGGAATATTCTTGACCACTCTCTCTTCACTCCTTATTCTTGTTTCACTTATTTGCTGGGTATTCGAATTTGTGCATGAATTGGAGGTGCAAGTGAAACCTAATGCCTGTGTGTGCTATGTGGCGAGGTGCGCAAAGGCCACTCTAATACCGGGCCGGTTTGGTTCAAAGACACTTATATGTGGTCGAGTGGAATTTAAGGCTGATATATATATATATATGTCCATGACGGCACCTGTCAGAGCCATCAAGGTAGAAACTCGGCAAGAGGCTGATGGACTACACGGGTGCCAAGAGTATGCTTTAACCGTGAGACCGGTGCAGGTGGCTGAAACTAAGAGAGACTAAAATTATTTATACTGTAACAGATCAACTGGTTGATGTTTTTATGTTGTGATCAATATTGTAAGTAGTGTTTGTTTGTTTTTATTGTGGAAGTATTTCGAATAAGTCATGGTTGATCCAATTATAAAGACATGTATATTGATACATAACATAAGAATTTCAAATATTTTTTTAATATAAAAAATTTTCATTAAATTATATTTTTCTTGAAATGAAATCTCCACAAATTTATTCAATTCACTATTTTAATGAATTTATCGAAAAAAATTCATCGTATGACTTAATTATAACTTTTTCTCTAAATTCACTAAAACATATTATTGTCAAAAATTAAACTTCAATATTTGTTATGATATAATTAAAATTTTATGTAAAAATTATTTTATCATCTTCATTCATTACCTATTATTTTTATTGAACTATTTATATAAGTTCAATAAAAATTTTATAAAATGTAGTTTAATATTTTAAAAATATTATATTCTTAGATTAAAAACATGAAATATAATATTTATTGAGTATTTAGATGTGGATAAAAAATTATCGTAATATTTTTTTTAAAAATAATGCATTATAAGGTGCACTCTCAACTTGTCAAATAGAGCACTTCATTAATGTGGTTATATGATATATGAACATATTTGAGATGGTAATTAATAAACACTGGTAATGGTGGTAATTAATAAATACTGGTAATGGTGCTTTATAGCACTTCAACAAACTAAAAAATGAAATCTAGTCATTTTTCTAAGAAAAATAAAATATAGTCATTGGGGCATGTGAGAAGACATAATTGCCCTTAGACACCATTTTATCACCTTTTTCCCATTTTCATCATTTCTCCCTTTTTTTCACTTCATTTTCCCGCCCCCATTTTATCAACTTTTTCACGGTACTCTCTCTCTCTCAAAGCTCTCTCTCCGATTTCAATTTCGAATCTTTCAATTTCGAATTCTCGCCAGGTAGGATTCACGGCGAATCTCTTGCTCTTCAATTTCGAAGCTCTCTTCTCCGATTTCATCTCATTTCGAAGCTTTTCTCCGGCGATTTCAAGGTTCGAAGCTTTCTTCGATTTCGAAGCTCCGTCGATTTGAAGGTTCCAAGCTTTCTTTGATTTCGAAGCTTTTCATCTCTCTCTCATATTTGTTCTTCTCTTTCTTCGATTGAGGTTGTGCATTTTTAGGGTATTATTTTCAATTTGTATTATTTGTGTGTTGCGATTTTGAGGGTATTAAAATGTGCGTTTTTAGGGGCTAGTATGTGCATTTTCAATTGAAAATATGTGTGGTTAAATTGAAATATGTATGGTTAAATTGTATTATTTATTTATTTTTTTGGGGCTAAATGAGGTAGAAATTAATTTTTTTAGGCCACTGTTTAGGGCTATTTTTGCATATGTATGAGGTAGAAATTTAGCACTTTGGTTTGATGAAGAGTTCACTCAAAATTGAACTACTTGTTTTATGGATTGTACTCCTCTTACCCCAAAGATGAGATGCCATTGGNACCAAAAAATGCAATTATGTTTCTTTTTGAAAGGGTTATGAATTACTGTGACTGAAACGTTATAGTGAAATTGCTGATCTTTAATTATTTGAGCTCTGGTGTATGAAAAATTATCCTTTTCTCTTTCTGGACTCTGATTTTCGTTCATTATTTTGGAAACTATGAACTCCACTTAACACACTTGTTTGTTGAAAGAAAAAATGACCGATGGAGAAGTGTAATTCTTTGTGCTGGTACATGATGGTTTTGGTGAGACATGACAGGAACCATTGTTTAGTATGCATCATTGTGCTGGTTAATGATGGTTTTTGTGAGACATGATAGGAACCATTGTTCAGTATGCATCATTGAGCATGCACTTGTTAGTGTAAGATCTTTCATTTTACTTATATCAGCCGGGTGGCATATGTGCTGCTGAATTGTTCTGAATATTATCGGCTTTTACAATCAGATTGTGGTTGTTTTACTTGCTTATTAATATTGTCTTGATGTGGATAGTATTATTTGAGAAGAAAATCTATCTTGATTTGAAAACTTTGTTGAGGATGTTGGTCATTGAGTTGCAGGTAGTGGCAAGTATGCGTAGAGTATTAGGCAACTCAAAATAGAGCTGTATGCCACCCTATGTATGTCTTCAGTTTTGAGTTAATTGGGCTTTTGCTACTAATTTGATATATCGTGAAGAAGTAGTCATCTTTAAATGTAAATTGATGCATTTCTTCATTTTCTTAATTTGAAAAAAGATCTTCATACAAACCTCTTACCTCTTTGAGGCGCTATTCTTGGAACACGACGAGATGACAGCCGCTAATGAGGTATGATGTTTTTTGGCTCAAAAATAAGTTTTGTAGTTTACGTGGAAAAACTTCAGTTTTTTTGTTCAAGAAACTAATGAGTTTATGTTGTTTACTCAAGAAAGAGTTTGTATTTAACTTCTGTTTTCTTGACAAGAAACAGGCTTCTTCACAAGAAACAGACTTCTTGAGCAGGAAACTTGTTTCTTGACAAGAAGCCTGTTTCTCGAAAAGAAACCTGTCTCTTGCTCAAGAAACCTGTCTCTTGAGCAAGAAACCTGTTTCTTGTAAAGAAACCTGTTTTTTGAACAAAAAATTGGTTTTTAACCTGTTTTTTAATATTGTGTTTTTTAAAAAAATTAAAATAATATTAATTGTTTCATAATTGTTAGGGGGACAGTTGGAGGTGGAGATGGGATAAACGTTACATCTGGGGCGGCAGAATCAATTGTCAGACGAAGCCTAAAGTAATAGTCTATATTAAGAGTCAATTAGGTGCTTCTGGCCGTCTTCGGGAGTTTAAACAATCTTGTTTTGGACATTTCTTGAGGTTTGATGAGCAAGCGTACTACAGTGGGAGACTACTACTTGCCTTACTTGGTCGAGAGGTTTTTCTCCGTGACGCTCGAGAGAAGGAGCGTTGGTTTCAAATTAGAGGTAATATTATAAATTCGGGTAAGTCGAATTTTGCCAAATCAGTGGCTTGATGTTTGGTGGGTCGGAATTCTTCCCCGAGGAGAATGAGAGTTTACCGGCCATTGATAGGGTATATCGACGCCACTATGACGGCAAGAGTGTGATAGGAGGTGATCTGTTGAGGGATTTCACGAACGGTCATTTTCAGAATAATCCCGATGACGTGCTGAAGGTTTCCATGATCTTAATTGTTCACTATTTATTCTTTGCACCCGACCCGAGGTCCGCTGTGCCACTGTGGCTTTGGATGTTAGTGGAAAATTTAGAAATGGTCGGGAAATTTCCTTGGGGCACATTTTTCTTTCATCGTTTATACCATTGTCTCAATGGTATAAGTGAACCAGATGAGGGGTGTGACGTTCAGTTGAACATCCATGGTTTTTTAATGCCTTTTCAGGTACATATACAATTTTACAATTGTTTCACTATTTTTTGTTATTTATTTTAAAAAGACCATTTACGATTTTTTTTCTAAATAGATATGGGTTTGTGAGATGATGCCCGAGTTTGTACGAGGAGGTGGAATGGTGTGCAACGGACATGGTCTACCGAGAGGCACTCGGTGGATTTGCCCGAAGAAAAATTTTCTTCAGTTGTCTGACATTGATAAGCCCAAGGTAAATATATATGTTCTACATTAAATTTCTATATGATTCTTATTATGAAATTATTCTTATTCTTATTCTTATTTTTCTTTTTGTCATTTTTTTGTTTGGCATTTTCTTAATAAATTCAATGTAGACCAATGTGTCTGACAGATGTCGAGAGGAATGCGCCGTATATGGCTAATGTTCATTTGGACTTATCAATGGGGTTGCAATATATCCACCACGACTCGTGGCAGAGTTGTTGTAAGCCGCTAGGTGATGCCTCATCTTCTTTACGTCATAGACCTGCCACCAAAAAAAGGAAGATTGGACCGCCAATGAGCAGACATTCGAAGAAGCTGGCTGTAGAGGCATATGAGGAAGCTGAAAAAGAGACGTAGTGGGAGCCGAGGGAGCCTCAAAAGGAGCCGGCTGGAATGGACAAAGACCTCATCAAGCAATGGGTGGAGGAAGGCGTTTCAAATTGCCTGAAAGAGTTGATGCCTGCGATAGTGGAACAAACTTTATGTCAGGTCCCGACGTTCCCTCTTCATCCACTCATCCACAGTGAAAGTTCTTCTGTTTCTTCTTCATTGTTTTGGACTGTAAAATGCTATGACAATTTACTGTTAGTTTTTGTTTCTTTTGATTGTTTTGATGGTTATGAAACATGTGAAACATCATCCGGGAGTGACAAATTTACTGTTAGTTTTTGTTTCTTTTCATTGATGTGTGAAGTTCGAA